TCTCGTCCTCAGAGCAAGACAATATCACACCCACTCTGAGCAAACCATACCAAGAAAACCCCATAAGAGATCCACCTCAGGGTGCCCATAAGTCAGGAACAATTTGAAGGAATTCAATAACAATAACAGCTTTGTGTCATCTAACAATTGGTCAATGGGTTGCTGGGGAACTACAACTCTCTCCCTCCTCCCCAGCATCTGTCACCTGTCATGGTTGCCTCACTCTGCCTCACTCTTTTTTTGGGGGGACAAGCTGACCAGCTGTCCATTCTCTTTGTATATCTCACATTTACTTAACACCCATTTAATGTTTCACCTAGTTTTACACTTGGCATATTTTGCCCTGAAGGGAAGCAAGCTTCGAATTGCAGTGCCATTGCAATAATAATGCACATGGATAATTATGGAAATGGAAGCATCTTTGCATTCTGCCATAACCGCTTTGAACAGGCAGTCAACTAAGACAACCTCTCTTTGTCTTCCTCAATATTGGCGCCCATTAATTTGGGTGCGGGAAGGCAAACAGGCCATTAGGGTTTCACATCTTCATTGGAGGCTTATTTATCTTTGCAAAATGAAAAGGGAGAAACACGTCTCTTCACGCTGAGCCAGAACATGAGAGCACAGACACCCCATAGGGAATTAACAGCAAGTGCATCTAGAGGAAATGAAAGGAAACATTTCTGTCCCCGGTGAAGTGGCTCATCCCAGGCAATTTGCTAAGGCAGGAGGTGGGAAGGGTGGAAAGCTGTCACATTTGAAAAGGAGCTGAGCAGCTTTGACAGCAGTTGTTATTTCCAGTTTGTACTGGATGGTGATTTTCATGAGTCTTTACCATATAGAGAGTTTAACAAGACATTATGTTTTTATCCATCTGGTATGGGAACAAGGCTCTAATCGATTGTCTTATGGACATCCTAGTGGCAATAAGGGCTAAAGACCAATTATTTCCTCCCTCCAAGCTGAAACTAGTATGGAAAAAAAAAATAGTCTTCTGAGTGGCATTCATTGTTCCCACCACATTATACATCAAACATGTTTCTGCAGTGCTTCAAAAAACTGCAAGACCTGTTGTACTGAAGATTATGGTGGATCAAAAAACATTTGTGCCCAAACCACAGGAAGTCCAGCCTGTCAGTCATTCCCCTTTTGTGTCTTTTGAATCCCTCAAAATATTCAGTCCAACGGGGATTGAGAAAGCATGATTTACTACTAACCACACTCTGGGGGATTCCAAATGAGTAATTTTGCCAGGTTTTGGTCCACCACATATATTCCTTATTGGATGAAGAACCCTACATGCAATCCGATATTGCGTCCAAGCAGTGTCCCATCCAAGCTGCTGGGGTTACAGACCAATAGCCCCACTTCAGACCGCAACAGTAATACTAGTCATCCTCTCCTAAGTGGGGAGCAAAGGGCTTGGAGCAGTCTCATGTCCTGTAAGAAAAAAAAAATGCCTTAACATAACCATGTGGCTTTCCATATTTCTTGGACTACAAGTCCCAGTAGCTTTAGCCAGCATGGCCGATGCAGAGGAATGCTGGTTGCTGCAGTTCAACAATATTTTCAGAGCTGCATGATTTCCATGAATGTGAGGCAGCCAACTTGGGAGGCAGATGCTGGGGAGAGGAAGCAGGAGCCAAGTATTGGGTGGCCATAGAGGATGTGTTATGCTCATACACACAGGGAGAGATCACAACCAAGCTAGCCTGCTATTGTGAGGTGCAGTGGAGAACAATGTCCCATCACCAGTACTCCAAGAAGAGTCCCCTTTGTTGTCCAACTGACTTTTGAACATGAACCAGGAAAGAAGAATTATATTTTCATTTGCCTCCAACAGTATTATGCGCATCCTCCGACATATGTGACCAAGAAACATCAGAGTGTGGTCAAGATGACAATAGTTATTAATGGGAATGAAAAAGAAAAGTTTGCTTTCTCCTGAGCCTATAGGGAAGGGTAAGATTCTGTCCACTTTTGCACTTGGAACTCAGTTTCCAGCAAACTGTAAACTGAGGGTATGAGGGGGAAATGACGGGAGGAGAGAGCAACCTGAACATTGTAAAAGCACCTGAAAAAGTAGGATGGCAGGGAATTTATTGAGACCTTCCCTGACAAATCAGGAAAGTTGGAGGGTATGCAGTTGCCCCATGGGGGACACAAAAGTACTGTTTTCCTGGATATCTGGAGATTGCTTCCTGGAAATGAAGTATTTATTTAAGCTACTGAGCAGCAGATACTTGTGTAACCGGAGTCCTAAACTAAGCCACATAAAAGGGATTTTTTTTCCTTCCAGTGGCCCATTTCCCCCTTAAAATGTATAGCAATTAGTTACCCCCTCAAATATATTTCTGGGAAAGCTCAAAGCTATTTAAAGTTGAAGGAGAACCCTCAGGTGCAGAAGAAATATTATCTACATTATTTTCTGTAACACTTATATAAATTTTATTTAAAACCCTCTTATGTAAAATGTTTCATTGCAGAGGCCAGACCTAGTTTGTTTATTAGGGGTTGTTTGCCTTATTCTTTCTGAAACTTGGATGTTCTGGACTCTTTTACCCACTTTTATCTCTGTCCTACTTGCAACCTGCTGAGACCTCATTCTTATGCAACAGTTCCATGCCAGGCTCTGATATATAACCCATTGTAGAGGTACAGACACTGAACATGAAGGACCACAAGCAATTATCAGAATGGAAATGCCTTCCCTTTGGGACAGTTGGACACTTCTGGTAAGGAGATGGATCTGGGATAATCCAGGACCCAGCCGGCAGTCGCTTGTGCATGCATGTATCTGTTTGTGTTACATTTCACCTGCAGCCCCATCAGTATCTGTTGAAACAGCGTTGTTTGAACAGCCCTGTCACACAGGTCGAGAGTCTGATGACTGAGGGGTCAAAGTCTCTGGTCAACCCTTTATTTAGGGGCCTGTGATATCTGCCCCCTCTGCTATCAATCTCAAGCAAATAAAAAGGCTTTCTTCATCTCTTTCAACATAGGGCATCAGCAACACTCAGAACAGTTGCACAACAATGTGCTCCAGGAATGTAATAGGTCTCTCTTTAAAAAAAAAAAAAGTATGGTTTATCACGAAAAGGCATGAATCATTGGAAAAGACAATAATGTTGGGAAAGGTGGAGGGAAGTAGAAAGAGAGGAAGGCCACATGCTAGTTGGATGGACTTTATTTAAGAGACCACGAATAGGAGCAGGAGCTGGACAGAGCAGTAGAGGACAGGGGGGCCTGGAGATGTTTCATCCATAGGGTCCCCATGGGTCGGGATCGATGCGAAGGCAGTTAACAAACAAAAATAGTTTATCACCATTATAGGACATTTTACTTAGATGGGGGGGTATAGATGGAAGGGATTGTAAAAGGTACATTTTCCAGAGCTTTGGAAAATAACTTTTTTAGACTATAAATCCCAGTATTCTTCAGCAAACATGGCCAAGGCCTGGCTTAAACAGAATGCCACCAGCAGTCTTACTCACTCCAGGCAACTGTATTCGGAGATCTGTCCTATATCTCAGCTTGAATCTTCATGTAGCCAATAAACTAAATGGGACATGGTCTTCTTTAGAGTGGCACTCAGACTATGGTAATTCCTTTTTAGAAAGACTTGGCTTGGCTTGACTGTTTTTGGACAACAAGTGAAGTCTTTGTTGTTCCATGGAGCCTTTGGGTAGGTGTTAATTTGCAATATACCTATGCCCTATTTAGTCTCAGTCTGTTTCCTTAGAGCTGCTTATTCTGAAATTTTATTGTCATTGTTGGTATATTTTTTTTTGTCTATATTACATAGATCTTAACTTGTCCCACCGATCTCAAAGGTGTTTTAACATAATACCACATAGAAATGCATATGTATAGGAGTTTTGCCAATCTATGCTACTGTGGGAGTCTATTTTTAAATTGCCTCCAAAGAATGGATGCAGTGTCTTCTAGGGATGTAATTTTTCACTAATTTTCTTTTTGAAGGAAGCAATGAGTAATAATAGCAATTTTCTCCCTGCTGTGAGAAAGTCTCCAAAAAGCACACAGATCCTGAAACTCATTCGCAATTGGGGATTTATTCTGTGCAAAATTCTCATGTGGCCGTTTTTCAAAGGAAATAATGTTCCTGCATAGGAAATAATGACTGGGATCCTGTTGGGCAGTTATGAATATGTAACCTACAGTTATGCATTCATAACTGGTATGTATTCATAGTTTAGGGGCTACATAGGGACCATGAAAGTCCCCCAAGTCCCACTTACTGGTAAGCAGCTGCTGGGATTGAACAGGGGTCTGTTCCTTTGTTCCCATAAAGAAGTGGATGCCTGATGTTCCTACCTCCCCTTGCATGAGCAATCTCTGGCAAGAGAGGGATTTGCAACATGGGTCCTTTTCTGCCTGTTGTGCCAGAGATCATTCAAGGTAGAGATTGCTCATGGGAGGTGGTAGAAACATCAGGCAGCTGCTTCTTGATCAATCGGGGAAGAGAGGGGAAATCTCCTGCTGATCCCCACAGCTGCTTTCCAGCAAGTGGGGTTTTTTGGCAGGGAGGGGGTCTGGCCAGAATCCAGTATATAGCACTATAGTTACTGTGCTACATAGTAAATAATGATAATACAAGGTTCCTTCAATATTTCTATGCAAGAAATATTTTTGTTGCAGAAAAAGCTGTTTCCTGCGTTTAAAAATTTTTCTGTTTTCAGTGCAAAGTGAACCAAGTGGAGATTTTGCACGGACTAAGTCCTGCACTGCAAAGATTCCCATTGGTCCAAGACTCTTCTTGTCAGGGTTTCTCAATACTCAAAAAACATATTTTCTGATATATTTTTTCAATATTTTGGAATATTCTTCTGCTCCTTCTCTGTGCCACAACAAACTACAAATCCCAGGATTCTATAGCACTGAGCCATGACAGTTAAAACGATGTCAAACTGCATTATTCCTGCAGTGCCAATCTTACTGAACTCAGTGGGATTTATTTTAAAGTGGCATACATAGGGAGAACCAGCGTGGCGCAGTGGTTTGAGCACTGGAGTACAACTCTGGAGACAGGGGTTCAAATCCCTGCTTAGCCTGGGAAACCCTTGGGCAAGTCACACCCTCTCAGCCTCAGAAGTCCCTACTGAACAAATCTTGCCAGGCAAACCACTGTGATGGCGTTGCCTTAGGGTTGCCACACGTCAGAAACAACTTGAAGGCACAGAACAACAACAGCAGTGCATATAGGATTTATTGTTAATTATAGGTTACTGCCTATAGATAGAGTGGAGAGGAGGGACCAGTACTTTGGTTCGTAGAAAGAAATGAGATTTTAAATAAGCTTTCTTGGTAATGGCTTGTAGCTGGATAATTAACCAACCTGCACACGAGAGCTCTTTAAAAACTGGATGCCAGATCTTTAAAAGGAAGAAGTTGTTGAGATGAGAATCTAAATTACTCCTGCCAGCCAGGGAGGCTTTTCTAAAGAAAATGTATCTACATAGTAATAAAAGCTTAAGTGAGGAATGATAGATGTTTCCAATGATGAGAGAGAAGATGCAGAGTTAAATCTATGCTCCTCGCTGACCCTAAAGTATTCGTTTTGCATGATTCAGCATGCTGACAGGTAAATTAGCCAAAATCCTTGAAAGAGGCCTGTGGATAATCATGCAGCCTTGCTCTCTTCTGGATGAAGCGGCTTAGATGGCTTCACCCTAAGACAGTGGATGTAAAATGAATATAAAGATAATGTAAATGACATAGAATTTATATATGACATTAAAAAGATTTGCATTATAAAGCCTAATTGACCAGGAGCTAGAAGAACACTAGATGGAAGCCAGGGACATTGTGCAGGAAGAATACAAAAAGACACTATCTGCAGCCAAAAAGAAAGAGAATCCTCAATGGATGACAGATGAAACTCTTCAAACAGTTAAGGACAGGCAAGAAGTAAAAGCAAAAGGTAACGAAATAGAGTCAGAACTCACAATGCAATCTTTCAATTACTTTAACCCAGCGACAATGAGAACCTCTATAATACTCAAAGCAGAGAAATAGAATATGATCCAAAACACACTGGACAAATAATCCAGTTTGAAAGTGCTTCAACTGCCCTGGCTCAATGCTAGGAAGTTCTGGGAACTATAGTTTTGTGAGACATTTATCCTTCTCTGTCAGAGAGCTCTGGTGCCACAATAAACTACAATCCCCAGGATTCCCTAGACTGGTGACAACAACAACAAAAGAACAAGAGAACTCTTCCACATGATCTGAGAAATCAAAGCTAAATTTAAACCAAGAGTGGAGATGCTCTCTCACCACCGGGGGGGGGGGAGGCTCATTACATAACCAAGTAGAAATAAAAAGATGATGGAAACAAAACTATATAAAAGAGATGAAAGGGTGACAGATATATTCCAGGAAGAACCATATGAAGATGAAACTCCAGTTTTAGATAATGAAGGGTAAGTTGCACTCAGAACACTTGAAGAAGTAAATTACCAGGAATGCATGGCATACCAGTAGAACTGCTTCAATCTAGAGACAGAATCTATTCTCGTTCTAACTAAAATACATCAACAAATATGGAAAACAAAACGATGGCCCACAGATTGGAAACACTCAATATACATTTCAGAGCTTTCAGTAACCACAGGACCATTGTATTACTTTCCCATGCAAGCAAAGTGATGCTCAAACTGATGCTTACAGTTTGGGGAGAAAAGTGGGATAGCAACAACAACTACAACAACAACAACAACAGAAATTATTCTTTAAAGGAGATGGAGATGATGGGGAGGAAGAATAAACTTCAAATTGTCTAAACTTGAGGGAGCAAATGAAGAGCTGACTGGGGGAAAGAGCTAAGAGAAGCGAAAACAATGGAAGAAAGAAGCTGAAATGCTAAGACAACTGTATTAAACTGTTAAAGTGGCTTCTGCCATACTGACACCTCCTTAACTTCCATGGATCAATGCTATGGAATTCTGGGATTTATAGTTTGGTGGAGCACAGAACTCTCTGACAGGCAAGGCTAAATAGCTCACAAAACTACTAACCCCAGAATTCCATGGCATTGGGTCATGGCAGTTAAAGTGGCGTCTAACTGCTTTATTTCTGCAATATAGACACATCTGAAGTAGATACGTTCCTGGGCATGACTTTGTTAACAGAAGATATGATACCAGAGGGAGAAATAACATGGAAAAAATAGGGATAGGTTCCCACATCACAAAAAGAAAAAGAACAGTTGGATGTGTTTTGGCAAACTATGTTCAAAACTGTCTAGATGTCCATGTGAAATGGAAAAAACAGATCAGGTAACCCTTGTATGAGTTTAAAAAAAACTTTTTAGAAACCATTTGAAGGCTTCCTCCAAAATATATCCAGGGAGGACTTTGTTTTTCTCCAGCTTCCACTTTTTTTGTGTGTGGCTTCCATTTTGATGGCCAAATGTATAGATAGATCTGTTTTTTTGAAAGCGATATCCCTTTCTTTCCCAGTTCAGACACTGTGCTGCAACCTGACACCAGAAATCTGTGTCCCTCCAGCTTTCCTTCACCATACTCTCAAGGTTGATGCTGCTTACAGAAAGTAGATGAAAAGGAAATGGGGTACGGCTTGGGAGTCAAAAGAAAGTTGTTAAAAGGAGTTTCACTGTCAGATGCATTTTAACTGTGGTATGCCTATACTTGGGATTACGTCATGATAGAGCCCAGAATACGGTCTCTGTACAATGAATTTTAGAATAATCTTCACCTTGCATGGATACTACAGCCAAGACACAGGGACTTTCAATTAAAAATAAATTATTTCCTCACAAGAAGGCACTGTGGGAACTCCAGCAACTGAAGCCATCCAGCCATGAGATAAATATCAATGTGTAGGTTTTGCTGGCTCTTCTAACTAGATGATAAATGGGTATATTTGCTGAACATGGAAGCCCTATTCCAGCATTTATTTTCCCTGTGGCTAGAAGGAGCTGGGGACACAGGTTTCAGCCCTGGGCCTTCCACCACTCCCTTCCCCATTTTTGCAGAGGAAAGTCTGACAAGAAACTGGAAATGTATTTGCCTGGTTATAGAGCTTCATGAAACCAGGCAACCCGATAAGGCAGGACTTCTGATTGCATAGAGCTCTGTAAGGCTGCTGACACACTGCAGAATTAATGCAATTTGACTCCACTTTGACTGCCATGGCTCCATGCTATAGAATCCCGGGATTTGTAGTTTGTTGCATCACCAGAGCTCTCTGAGAGAGAAGGCTAAATATCTCACAAAACTACAAATCTCAGAATTCCATCACATTGAACCATGCTGACTAAAACAATGTCAAACTGTGTTAATTCTGCAGTGTAGACGCAGCCTAATGTGTTCACTTGGTTGGAAATACATCTCCTTTTCAAACCACACTGCCAACATGGAAGATCCAGAGGGGACATGGCTGGAGTGTGTGTCCCCAGACATGTTGGTTTATGTAGGATCTTGACCCCAGTCCATTAACCATCTGGCCCTTCTATTCTTTGCTTTCATTTTTGCTCTCAATGTGAATATCAGGTGCTCTAGGCTGTATTTCAGCGGAAGGAACTAGTAAAACACCTCTGAATACCTCTTGTCTAAGAGAACCCTATGAAATTCAAGGCGACTTGAAGGAACATATGCACACAAGCACACCTAAACTTGAAACAAGATTTTTATGTTACTCAAAAGCTTCCAGGATTTCAAAAACCAAACAGTGCTGTGGGAGGCACTGATGCACCTGCTTTCTATTTGCCTGCGGTGGTTTAAGAATAGACAACTCTTATCCATGCAGGGAATGATGACTAAACAGGATTTTGAAAGCTTCTTTTCACTCTTGGGATTTCATGATCATTTTGTGTGGCCTTTTATTCATATCTCATTCAGTTTTACCAGAAACATAATGACAGGGAGTTTGTCTTGACTTTCTAATAAAGTATTTATTTATGGACATCAATTGGCTTCTACGTTTTGCAAGGCCAGAGGCTGTATGGAAGATGAAGTTGGGGAGGGGGGACGACACTCAGAGCTTGAAAAGTTATTTTCCCAAGTATTTCATTCCCATTACTCATTGCAGTGTGTAAAAGGCAATTTATTGCCATTGCTTGTTAGAATACCACCATGTTTGAAAAGTGACTCATTGCCTTGCTATTTTTTCTTTGAGGAAAAAAATCTAGTAATTTAGGCATAAGAGATAGACAGAAAACATGAAAAATTCCTCACAAAAAGTTTTAAAATAATGCCTTTTGAAAGCAACAGAATATTATTTGTTACACCAAGTAATGCATTAATATGAAACATTTCTGTCAAGATGCATTTTAAAAGTTACTCATTACACCAATATAGACTGATTCATTTCCAGCTTGTAATGCACTTCTGAAATGTAAATTCATTACAGCCCTAATAATCAAGAAAAGTTATTTATTACAGGCTGGGTCTCCCTGATATCTGGAATTCCAATATTCCAAACTCCAAAATTGTCCACATGGGTGACTGAGATAGTGACCCCTTAGCTTGTTTCATGCACAACATTATTTTTAAAATATTATGGGTAAAATTATCTTCAGGCTATGTGTATAAGGTGTATACACAAAACATAAATGAATGTCATATTTAGACTTGAATAGACAAGATATCTCATGTCAATGCAAACATTCCAACATCCAAAAAACTCCAAAATCCAGAATACTTCTGGTCCCAAGCGTTTTGGATAAAGGAGAAGCAACCTGTGTTTCCAAGCTTTGGGATTACTCACCCTTATCCAGAGTTTCTGCAAAATGGCACTGCGATTGTTGTTCCTCTCAGGTTTTCCACAGGACAAAGGAGTGGCTCAGTGATGGCTGGTAGTTTCCATGTCAATGGCTGATGAATCTGGTCTGGGTTATAATCCAAACTTTAAAAGAACTACCCAATCCCTCAATAGGTTCAGCATCATGGTTAGTTCCTTTAATGTTCAGATTACAGCCTATAACGGATTCACTGACTGACTGCTGGCTGCCACTGCTCTGGAACATGAAAGGTGGACAATCCAGGTGCAATGACACACAGAAAAAAGGGTTGCATGTAAAACCAAGAAC